ATTAAATAGGGATTTTAATAAAACGTACCTGTATTTTAAGTAGAAAAACATCTAAAAAATTCATCAAAGATTTGAAATTACATTCAATTCAATTTTAATTTAATTTAGTTTCTAAAACCTTCTCTTCTAAAATCTGAAGTGGACCTTTCAGTGGAACATTTGATATTTTTTGTAGTTTTTAATAAAAATTTGCCAAAATCAAGGTTTCTTTTTCTAGATGAATACTATTTCATCTAATAAATCAAAATAAATATACGAATAAAAACATTTTAAAAGCCTGGGCATTTTGGTCGAAAGTCGGCCTTTTTAGCGGAGCAATCAATATATTTATTAATTTTGAATAAAATTAGTCAAATTCAAGGCTTCTTTTCTAGATGAATTGATGAATCACCTTTCAGGCAACGGTGACCTAAACCCGGGCTACTGCCAGCTCATCAACAAACCGATCGTCGACGCGGCCGGACACCGTGAATATGGGTGGAGCCTTGATCAGAAAATCCCCGTCTCCAACTCCCATCCAAAGGCGGTGGGTTAAAATTTTAATTAGACAGACTTAAAAACTTGCTAACTAAAAGGATAGTCAAAAAGAATCAAAAAAATACATAAAAATGTTCGAAAATCGAATTAATGTGGATTGCAAAAAAAATATGATTTTTGCTGCAGTTTGAAATATATCTTTTTTTTCTGCGTTTGACGTGAGAAGCAAAAACACCGCTGAATAGCTGTAAAACCTCGAATCTAAAAAATAAGTCATTTCATGTATTTTTTAATTTATTCTTATTTCATTTTTGCAGATCTCCCCGCTGGACGAGGCGATCCCGTGCCAAATCGGCTTCCGCAGCGCCTGCTCCACCACCAGCACCACGATCTCGGTTAGTGCAAAAAGAGTGTTTCAGGGAGAGGACTACACCTTAAAAAATTATATTTATTAATAGGCGGTCCCATTCCTTAGGGAAAAGTTTGTGATTCTAATTCCACTTAGAGTAGAGTTTTTCCTATTTGTAAATGTAAACATTAACATTAGAATAATTCCAATTTTTTGTAAATAACAAAAATATCGAATTTTCAACAAAAATTTGAACTTTAAACTACTGTAAGTTCGGAGGTTTTTCAAGGATTGGAAATTTATCTAAATTTAGCATCAACAAGATAAAAATCACATTACGTTACTAGGCATTTCTGGCATAATAAGAAAAAGTCGCCCCCCCCCCGATAATGCGAAAGCACCAGCAATTCGGCTGGTTTTGAAAACAAAGTTAGCTTCCCGGCCCCCTTAAACCGTTCAAAAGCATCTAATCATCCACAAACACTATTTCAGTCGCAAAACCCGAACGCGTACACGCAGCTGAAAAACTACCATGCGGTTGTGGCACCGCCCGGTTCCGGATCGGCCTCACCTCAACCCGTTCCCCGAACCAGCACCCCAGCACAATCCCCGCTGCTGGTAAGTTGCCTCAAATTATAAAATTTAATATTGATATTAATTAATACATACGGATTTAGGTTCTTGTGTATTCCCGGGGGAGAATTCGCGGGGGGAACCAACTTTTTTTTGTCGGCCCTGGTGGGGATAGTAATCAAATATAAAGTGTTTTCACATTGTTTTCAGCAAAATTTAAGCCTATTTGAATCGGAAAAACTTTTTAAAAAGTTAGAAAAACACCTGAAAAAGTCGAAAATTTGGTCATTTTTGGGGCAAAAAAATTTGATTTTTCGAACTAAAATTAATTTTTGTAAAGTTTTTATGTTTAGGAATAGCTATAAACAATTTAGAACCACTTCTACTATTTATATAAAAAATCTTGGCTTGAGCCGAAAAGTTCGGTTCCCCCCCGGGAATACACAAGTACCCGGATTTAAGAATACGGATTTTATTAAAATTAATTACCGTTCACAAAATATCTTTCTATCTCAAGTTAGTGGAGCAATTTCAGCCAATCCGGAAGAAAGGTCAATTTTTGGGTAAAAATCGATAAGAATCTTTCTTATTTTCGGCTTCTTCACCGCTAAATGGCCTTATTTTGCAGGAATTGAAACCTAAGAACTGCGTTGAATAAAAGGCTCAAGTCTAGGAAACCCCCCCCCCCCAGCCACAACTTTGTAGCCATGCATCCTATTAATGCGCCGAGTATCTCAAAATGTTCGCCGTGGTCGAATTACTATAGAAAAGTTGTTTCTATACACCAAAAATTGTTAGAAAAATTTTTATGACAATTATAAGTCTGGGTTTTCTTTAGTTAATTTTTGCTGTTCCAAAGTGAGTTTTCGTATCTCGGCTATCTTTTGTCCTACCGAGCTGTCAATGGTATGAAAATGTAGCTCTTGCTCTGTAGAATAAGACGACAGTACATTTGAGTCGAAAAAATTAGCGGAAAATAAAAATATTTGAGTTTTAGACTCCTGGTACATTGAAGCACAGCGGCTTAATCTTTTCAACTTTGAAAATCTTGTAAAAAAAATTCTAGCAATTTTTGCCGCAAGAAAACATCTTTTTTATAGTAATTCGACCACGGCGAACATTTTGAGACACTCGGCGCATTAATAGGACGTATGGCTGAAAAGTTACGGCTGGGGGGGGGGGGTTTCCTAGACTCTTACCGAATAAAATAATGTTCCATTGTTCTGTTTCCTCGTTTTTGAAACATTTCATTTTATTTGGAGGCGCTAGAATGTTTTGTTGAAGCGGGAAGCTGGGTTTGAGTTTTCTTATTTTTGGCTAATTTTTTAGGCAAAATTTTAGTCGTTGCAGCGAGCGGTGATTCTTAGGGATATTTTTAACCTTTTTACTACTTAGATTTAAAATTTTGCAAAAGCTAACCTTGCGCTTTTCAGGGAACCCCGCCCGGCTTTGACGCGCCCCCGCCGCCGGAGGCGCTGAAGAAAGCTAAGGAGGAGGAGGAGAAAAAGAAGGAGGAAGCCCGAAAGGCGGACGAAGCTGAACAACAAAACGAAGAGGCAGGAGCTGTAGAACAGGAGGAGCAAGAGAAAGAGAGGGAAGCTGATGAGGCGCACGAGTCGCCGGCGCCCATCAAGAAGGCGCCCTGCGTCCCGCCACGACGCCCATCGACCGAAGGCCGTGATGTTTTCCGGACCTTGCAATTTACGGTGAGGAAAAGCTGGCTAGTTCATCGTACTTTCTCAAAGCTTGTAAATTAAGCTTCAAACTGACGCTGTCTAGCTAAAATTGCGGCGTCTTCTACGTGTTTAGCGTGCATTTTACGATGTAAAGACAGAATCTACAGCTTTTAAAACGAAACGATAAGTTTCTAGAAGCTCCCCGCCCCGGCGCCATCGTCCGAAAAGCCGGAACGTCCGGCAACGCTAGACCTGGCGGTAACCCCTGGTGAATCTGGAATCAGGTGCGTTGAACAAAGTCAAATATTACAAATCGAAATTGTCAATTAGAAAATTAACTACCAATAAGATTCATCAAAAACCCACCTCTACTTACGAAACACTTTATGAACTAGCGACAGAAATTACCAAACACGAAGAATTTCAAGCAAAACAAGCCACACGGAACATTAATATAGTAACAAGCTATTCGTTAAATCTATTAAACACGAAACACTTTTTTATTGCAAGAAAAAGACAATAAAAAAACTGCTAGCTGGGTTACTACTAAGAGATACAACATTTTATAAGGAGCTGACCTTCTAAAAACCAACCTTTTCAGCACTGCCGGTAGCTCGTTGCCGTCCAGCTCGCACTCTCTCCCTCTCGGCCAATCGCGAAGCACCACGGTCCCCGTCGAGTTTTGATTCCGACGCTCAACTCGTCGAAAAGTTGCTTCAATAACGTCTAAAATGACAGCCCCGCTTCAACCTTCAAAACTTCGAAAAACCTCGTAAAGTTTCTCAATTTCCCCATTTCCGTAAGCTGGCTTTCCCCACCACCCCTTTCCCTATTTTAGTGTATATAGTTTTCATTTTTTGTCGTCTAGTAATGGCATATTTGTTGTCATTATGCCCGTTGTCATTACCTAAACTCTCTACTGCCCAAAGCGAGGGCAGATCTGACCAGATGTCGAGGCACACCTGACGTTTTATCTAGGTTTTTCTGCAAAAAAATCGAAATCTAACCTGCCCTTGCTAAAGATTAGTTTTTATTTGAGCATTTTTTGGATTTTTCCTTCCTCCCTTGTGCTTTGCCGTGCTCTACTATCGTTGTCTACTCGATTCCGCCGCCCAAGGATATTTCGCTTGCCCCCCCAAAAAAAAATCATCCCCCGAAAGCCCTACGGTTTTGCACACTTTTCCGCGCGTTGTTTGGCAGTTATGCCGGGGAGTTGGAAAATGTTGAAAGCGAGTTCTTTAGCAATACTAACGGAAACAAAACTTCGTTCCTTCCGGATCGATTTTTCGAAGCTGTTAATAACAATAAAAAAAATAGCCCTACGAGACTATTTGTGCAGTCTGAACCTAAAAACCCGAAAAATCTCATGACAATTCCAAATCGGGCTTGCCAAAATCGTCTCGAAAAACGTCGGTTTCCAAATCCTACCCATCATCGCACATTCTAGCTTCTTGTTCCTTGCAAAAAAAAAAAATTTAGTCGAATCCCCGATTGTGCCTTATCGCAATTCTAAAGTCTAAATGCCAATGCCCCCCGCTGATATACGCAATCCTTGCATTTCCTGTTTCTTCGACTACAGCCCAAAAATCACCCACAATCCCTAGTCCCAAAGCCTGTCCCCCCACCATTGGCCTTTACAATGTGTATATAGGCCCCCCGTGAGCCTCCGTTTTGCAAGAAGCGCCGGTCGATAGTAAACGTAGGCCACATTGCGCCGACTGCCGAATCGATCGGTTGCTTCGCCGTCTTTCTCGTTGCGTTTTATCGTTTTGGGGTAATAAACTGTTCATACACATAAAAAACACGAGACGATACGTCAGAGAATCCACAATTTATCGTTTTATTCCACACATACATACACAGATTGCAATCCACAAAAAATGCACAATGCGGAGCGCGAGGTCGCACAAGTGATGCCCGGCTCAGGGGCTCCAGAGGACCACGGGAAGCCGTTGCCTGAAAAAAAGTAAAGCAAAAATAAAAACAACGCTTACATGCGGGGTTCGGCAGTGATGGGAATCGTAGAGCTAATTGGTGGCACTTTATCATAGACATTGGTGTTAGCTGAATGAGCGAAACCGTTGAAAGCTAATGTAATCGGCTTACAGATAGTTGGGACGCAGTCGTAGACGTTGGAATTGAGGGGCACGCGGTCGTAGACAGCGGAATGGGACGGGATGAGATCGTAGAGCGTAGACTTGGGCGGGACGTGGTCGTATACATTGTTAGGCGCTAAAATCAGAGCTATTTCCGTTTTCGAAATAGGAAAAGGTAAGGCAAGCCGAAGACTCACTGGGCTTTTGGTTTTTCTCAAAATTTGGACGCGGTTGTTCAAGCGGGTCCAGCGGGTCGGTGTCCCAATCGCTATCCCAGCTGATCAAGTGCTAAACTGGCCTAGATGGTCGCAAAACACGAGATACCTTATCCTCAACAGCCTCGTCGCGCGCAGTCTCTATTTGGCCCGTGACTTTGTCTAGCCGCATCTAGGTAAAAAGTTTAAATTTTTTTTCAGGATCCTCACCTTGCCCTGATTCGGCGTCACGCATTCCGCACCAATACTCTTGCGGCGCCCAGCACGACGAGCCGAGTTCTTCCCCGATTTGTGATTGCTTGAGGTGATCGACTTGCGACGAGTGTGGCGCGTGAACCTAGTTTTGAACTAGAAAAAGAAGCTAGAACGAGCAATAAAAAGCGTCTTACCGGCAATAGATTCAGCGAATCCTTGACCACCCCCAAGATTGCGTGCGCATTCTCCCGAATCTGGAGGAGTAATATTAGGATAATCAAGGTAAAAATAGCCATACCTGCGCTTTGAAGCGGGTATCTTCGATGCGCGCTTGTCCTTCAAATCTATTCTCCAGAGAGAAGCCCTTGTTCAGATTATCCAGTTGCTCATCGATAAACTAAAGAAAGGCTTTATCCGATATGGCAAGAAAAAGCGTACCCGCTCGAAATACTGCGCGCCATCACGACCGACAAGAGCTTCCAAGAACGGACGAACACTGCTGGGTTGTTCCGCGATGAACCGCTCACTGTTCCAGGAAAACGTCTAAAAAATTACTGGCGAGTCTCAAGACGAAAACTACCTTCCCGGCCGGCTCGAACACAAGACCTTCCTTGAAGCCGCTGAAGAGCTGGGAATTGGCGCGCAAGAAGATACGCGAGAAGCGATCGCCTGCTTTGGTCACCGCTTTCAGCTTTTCCTTTAGATATGCTGTCAGCGGTTCGGGTAGATGGCTAACATCGTTGTGTGAGCCGTTTAGCGTCTTGATGTCCAAATCGATTACCATCACATCACCGATCTCGCGCAGTGTCCGAAATTCAAAAATGAAAGTTGGCATAAATTTATCATACCTCAGTCGACAAATTACGCTTGGGGACGCCGATCAAATAAGGCATAGGTGCATGCAGCATCTCTATCAGTGAGGCGGGAAGAATTGGGATCAACAGCGATTGCCTAAAGATAGAATTTGGGCTATCGACATCAAAATACCAGTGCATCGGGAAGAGTAGGGTGCTGGCAGCCATAACACAGCTGCTCACTTGCGATAGGTGCGAGCCAGTGAAGATGATGCGACGCTCCTTTAGTAGGCTGAAAAAAAAGAATTTTTCTAAAGGAACCGAATTTACTTAGAAAAAAACTAATTTCTTGCTCCCTATACAAAAAAAATTGTAAAGTTCGCGGTTTAGGGATAGTAAAAAAAACAGGGTGACACTACTGCCTCAATTTTTATTAGAAAATCCGACCGGAAACATCATCAAACGCCCAATTTTTACCTAGAGTAAAGCGCAATCAGCTGCATCGGGGGCATCGTGTTGCAAAACTCGAGCAGGCATAGATTCTCGTCTAGTCGTGGAAGCTGATCCCAATGCGGCGCGTTCAATCGGAGAGGCTAAAAATGTGGAAGTCCGGGATAAAAAAAGAAAAGGTACCTTGCCAATATCAAGCTTAACACAGGCACCAGGAACCGGGACCTGATGGCGGTAGAGTTCCGAGAGGAGCACGTCACACTTTTGTTTCTGGAAAATGACTTTATTCATTTAAAAAAGGGGAGTTACATCATTTCGCTCAATTGACTGCGAGAGGTGGGCGAGCACACTTTCGAAGAAGCCATCCCAGGGTAGCGCACTAAAAAAAGGAATTGTTCCTGCTTGCTGCCAAGAACTGGTACTATTCAAGTTAGAGTCGTTAACTTTGGGATGATCCTCAAGCCTGCTCACAAGATTCAAAAAAAATGTAGCTTGGCTAAGCCTGACAATAGGCTAGTTTTTGGAAAAGAAATCAGCCACCTAAACTTACCTAACAAAAATGACCGTGCGGTCGCTTCGGGGCAGCGTACGGCAGTACCCAAATGTGTATTGAGACCGCGAATCCGTCAAGGTGAAGCAAAACGACTCGGCCGGGCCTCCGCTATAAAAATTTGATTAGTGAACGGCTGAAAAAACGGACTTGTTTCCCGGACATGGGTCGGCGAACTGCAGGACCGACTTGATCACTGCGGCATTGTTAAAATCCTAAAAGAAAATTTAACCAATCGCTACACCACACCTCGGGATACTTTTGTAGCAACGTTGGCTCTTCGCCTTTCGCTCGAATCACGCAAAAGACGTCGAAAATCGTGACGGGTGTGCTAAACACGACAATTTCCAAAACACACAGAACCCTTACCGAAGGCGTGAATTCCCAGCAATCATTTACCAATACTTAGTGCGACGAGTAGTTAGTGGAGCTGAAAGGGAATTGGGAATTTGTGATAGTCCATAGCAGAAACCGCTTGAAAGAGCAGAAAATGACTGGGTGGAACGAAGGGGCGAATGCTTGGGGAGGAGGCGTTGAAAACAATTACGAATAGTTCCTTTCGTGCAAAAAAAACAGATAAAATTAAAATGATATAAAATACTGTAGTAGTCGACAAAATATCAAAAATAATTAAAAAAACAATTTCAGAAGTTTTTTCTACAAAAATGGTTTGAACTTTCGAAGAAGAAATCGGTCAATCGGGCCCGAAAAATGAACGTGTGAGGACAAATTACGGATCCTACCGTATTTTCGTTCCGAGACCCCAGTGGTCAGATCGGGCGCCAGTGGTTTTTGCCGTTTCTCCTTTTTCGCTTCTCTGACCGAGCGTACATTTTTTTCAAACGTTCTTTCCTTTCCAATTTTCCACGTTATTCATGTTCATTTTTCAGATACTGAATCATGGCCGATCAGAAGTCGGACTTCATCGAGAGGGCTAAGCTCGCGGAGCAGGTGCGTTGCTTTTCACTCTTTCATTTTGTTTGCCTTTTCGTGTCATATTCATCCTTTTAGGCCGAGCGCTACGAGGACATGGCCAAGGTCATGAAGGAGGTCGTCGAGCTTGGCGAGGAGCTGGAGCTGGAAAGCCGAAACCTCTTCTCGGTCGCCTACAAGAACGTCGTCGGGACTCGACGCTCTGCCTGGCGCACGCTCGTCACCATCAAGGAAAACCAACAAGACCTCGTCAGCAACCACCGGCTCACTGACGAATACCGCACTCAGGTGGAACAAGAGCTGCGCGACTCCTGCAATGAAACAATCGTAAGCCTATTTATGTCTTTTGATCTTTTTTTTATAGTCTCTCCTTGAAAACTACCTCATCCCGAAGGCACAGTCCGCCGATTCGAAGGTGTTCTACATCAAGATGCGAGGCGACTATTTCCGCTACTTGGGAGAGATCCTTCTTGGAGACGATCGCAAAGGTATTGATAATTTATGCCATGCCTACCATTTGGGAAAATTTACTTTTATGGTCCTCGTCCGAAAATTGATTTTTCGTGTCGGAATCGATTCAGAATTGTTCGAAATGTGTTTTACAGTTGAAAAAAAGGGTCGGAAAGATGTTTTTGCTAGAAAATATGCACTTTTTTATGAAAATTTGAGGACCATAAAATGGGGTACGGGGGACTGAAGTTTATGGTCCTCGGCTGAAAACCAATTTTTCTTCTCGGAAACTATCCAGAAATGTTTAAAATATCGTTTGTAGTTCAAAAAAATGGTCGGAAAGAAATTTTTTTGGGAGAAAATAATTTTTTTCACGAAAATTTGAGGACCATAAAAGGGGGTACGGGGGACCGAAGTTTATGGTCCTCACCTGAAAAGTGTTTTTTCTTTCACCAATTCAATAAATTAATGTTGGTAATGCATAGTACATCGAAAAAAAGTTCCGGAAAGATGTTCTTGGTCCCCTACGACTTAGGAACAGGGTGTGGTTCGTAGCATTGTCAGGCAAGGCGGGCCGTCGCTTCGGATGGGCTGCCGCTCCACTCTTTCGAAATCAGGGCGCCTGGGCGCTGCGCGCTGCTCGGGCGCCCCGATTTCGAAACACTGTACGAGCTCGCACCCATCCGAAGCGACTAGGCCCCGGGTGGCACGAAGCCTTATTTTTAGGCTAAAATTGGGTTGAATGAATTTTTGTAACAAAACATTTGTTGAAGCTAATAAGGGTCTTTCCGACGATTTTTTTAAACTGCAAACGGTAGTTTGAACATTTCTGGAAATTTTCCGACAAGAAAATTGGTTTTCAGCCGAGGACCATAAACTTCAGTCCCCCGTACCCCATTTTATGGTCCTCAAATTTTCGTAAAAAAGTGCATATTTCCTAGCAAAAACATCTTTCCGACCTTTTTTTTCAACTGTAAACCACATTTCGAACAATTTTGAATCGATTCCGACACGAAAAATCACTTTTCGGACGGGGACCATAAAAGTAAATCAAGCCTACCTCTTTAGCACTAGTCGAAAAGGCCGAACAAGCTTACAACGAGGCCTTCGTCATTGCCAAGGAGAACATGGTTCCGACGCACCCAATTCGTCTCGGCTTGGCCCTCAACTTCTCGGTCTTCTACTATGAGCTGGCTGGCAACCAGCAGAAGGCTTGCAAAATGGCTAGGGAGGTGAGGGATCGGTTTTCAAGTTTATACGATTATTTTTTTCTTCCAGGCGTTTGATGAAGCTGTCAAGGGGCTGGACTCGTTGAACGAAGATTCGTACAAGGATTCTACCCTCATCATGCAGTTGCTGCGAGACAACCTGACGCTCTGGGGCACCGAGGCGCTCGATGAAAGCCAGCCGGACGACTGATTGGACGTCAACAAAGTCCCCAATTCATCTGTGTACTTGGCACCACATGCGTATCTTCTTTGAGCTTTTGCATTTTGAGAAACATTCGATAAAGCTTTTAATTCAGCAATGTTTGATCACATCTTACCGCGTTAGCAAGCGCAGAATGTTGGAAAAACTGTTGGGGGTAACGTTTATTCGGGCGCACGAGTCTGTTCAAGTGAGTCTAGTAGTTTGTCACTTCTTCTTGTCAGCTCCGAAGCAGTCGCCGCCCACGCCAGCCAGCGTCTGATAGTTGGGGTCGGCCGTCGCTGAAAGCCATGGAGATTGTCAAGTCTGTTTTTGACACCGTCTTATCTGACGACAAACAGATGTTCAAAAGTCCCACCAGCTTTGGCGCCCTTATTGGCAGGAGCGACTGGCTTTCCACCGCCGCCTCCACCAGCCTTTTTATCGGCTCCGAAGCAGTCGCCGCCGACGCCAGCCAGCGTCTGGTAGTTAGGGTCGGCCGTAGCTGCAAACGACAAATTTTCGAAGTCGCGCTACGTGGTCCGAGTACGGGCTTCCCGAATCACTCACCAGCTTTGGCGCCCTGGTTAGCCGGTGCCTTCGGGCCTCCACCACCGCCGCCGCCTCCACCGCCAGCTCCCTTCTTGTCAGCGCCGAAACAGTCGCCGCCGACACCAGCGAGCGTTTGGTAGTTCGGATCGTGGGTGGCTAAAGCGTAGGGTTGAAGATGGAATGGTTACAAACCAGCCACTCCAGCGGCTCCTGGCTTCGGCCCTGCACCGCCACCACCGCCTCCTCCTCCGGCGGCCTTTTTGTCAGCACCGAAGCAATCGCCACCAACACCAGCGAGGGTTTGGTAGTTCGGATCGTGCGTGCCTAAAATTTTTTTGATTGAGGGTAGACTGGTTGCCAACCAGCCACGCCGCCAGCTCCGGGGGCTTTCGGGCCACCTCCTCCGCCACCGCCGCCCCCAGCGCCCTTCTTGTCTGCACCAAAGCAGTCGCCCCCGACACCGGCCAATGTCTGGTAGTTCGGGTCGTGCGTACCTGATGCGCGTGGTGAAAGCTAGGCAAATCAGCGCAAACCAGCGATTCCGCCAGCGCCAGGCGCCTTCGGGCCGCCGCCACCACCGCCTCCGCCGCCTCCCTTCTTGTCGGCGCCAAAGCAGTCGCCGCCAACTCCAGCCAAGGTTTGATAATTGGGGTCGTGAGTGCCTGAAACAGTAGATCGACTGCCTCTACCATCAGTTTACCAGCGACTCCTCCAGCGGCCGGGGCCTTGGGTCCGGCACCACCTCCTCCTCCGCCTCCTCCCCCGCCGCCGCCCTTCTTGTCGGCACCGAAGCAATCCCCGCCGACTCCGGCCAGGGTTTGGTAGTTCGGATCGTGAGTACCTTAAGGACTATTAAGGCTAGACGAGGAAATTAACCGGCGATTCCTCCTGCAGCCGGGGCTTTGGGTCCGGCGCCACCGCCGCCTCCTCCTCCGCCGCCGCCACCACCGTCCTTCTTCTTGTCGGCTCCAAAGCACTCGCCACCAACACCAGCCAAGGTTTGATAGTTGGGGTCGTGGGTACCTGCAGACAATCAGGCCTTCGTGTTGGACTAACGGTGGATGGGTAAATTTCCCCCAAATAATCGCGCAGCGAAAATAACCGGAATTCTGGACCCTTTTTCCCCTTGGAAAGGTAATTTCCCCGCTAAGACCCAGGCTTTTTCCGGCGAACGTGCCACCCACCAGCAATTCCTTCTTGCGTCGGCTTCTTCAGTGGATCCGCTCCTTTGCCAGCTGGGGCCGCGGCGGCGGGGGCTGCTGGCTTCGCTCCTCCAGCCGCGGGTGCAGCTGCGGCTGGGGCCGCCGGAGCAGCTCCCATCTTTGAGGCACCGCCCTTCTTGCCAGCACCACCAGCCTTCTTCTTCTTCGGGTCTTTCTTTGGCTTGACGGCGCTCTCCGCCGTGCCGGGACTGCTCTCTTCCTCTTCCTCCTCGTCATCGTCATCCTCTTCTTCCTCCTTTTTCTTCTGGAAACCAAATTGCTTTCTACCCAAGAAGTTTTTCCCACCTTGCAGCACTGGCCGATAAGGAATGGCGCGCCGAGAACGAAGGCAAACTGCCCGAGCAGTATGGACAGCAAGATTTCTGAATTATGGAAATTTCAGGACTGACTCATGAAATCCATACCTGTCAACTCCATATGCCAGATGTCCAACCAAATAGAAGCTCGAGAATTACAAATGTTGGCCGGGCTTCAGAATTTCTGTTTTAGATCGGGAATTTATGCAATTAGACGTGAGCTTCCATTTTATTCGAAAGCTTGTAAATTCCGTATTTTAATTGTATTTCAGTAGTTTTCGGCCAGCAAGTTTACCGAGATTGGGGGATTTTAGGCTTTTTTTCAAATGTCTACACTCGTTTTTCGGTGTCTTTCTCCCCGTGATGCTCTTTGGCGTGATTTCATGGTTTTTTCCCGATTCTTTGATGCGAATGCTCAGCAACTCCTTCCCGCCAAAGCGACCTCGAGACCCCCGTTCTCCTCCCGTCCCATGCGCCCCTAGGATAGTACCCAGCTCTCTTTCTCTAAACCTCCAAAGGGGCGGAAGGGCCGCGGGAAGGCAAAATTTTGAGTTTGCAGGGCGTGTTGCTGAATGCGGGTGGTCCTTTTTGAAAATCGATTTTACAATTTCAATATCTTTCCGACCAGTTTGTTTTCGCTCAACCTGTTTTCACATTCATAATAACGACTCCTCCCGGCTTTTTCATACGCCAGTTTTAGATGCCGCCAAAGCGCAGGGGATTCGTCGACAGCGACGACGAAGATGAGCCGCAACCATCGAAGCGTGCCAACCGCACCACGCCGATCAAGGCCGCCCAGAAAAGGCCCGATACGGCCACGCCAAGGAAGAAGGTTCGTTAACTTTGCGATTTACGAACATTTTTGTGCTTTAGGATGTCGGCTCCGTGTTCACGGCCGACCATTTGATGGATGGGCCCGAACGAGGAAATGAATTCGATGACGACGATGAGGGGCGCATTGTTAGTTTAAAATTCACTCCTTCAACTTCTTCTTAGGATTACGCGGCTCTGGACGACGAGGAGCTGATGAAAATCCAGATCCCGCCAGCTTTCGACCCTGACTGCAATGCTGATGCGAAGAAGGGCCGTCTCGTCATTCAGCGAATCGATGTCGAGAATTTCAAGTCGTACCGTGACAAGACGACCATCGGACCTTTCCATACGGTGAGCATTTGGTTTTTGAAAAAATTTGGATTCTTTGATTTTCAGAATTACACCTCCATCATCGGCCCAAACGGCTCCGGCAAGAGTAACGTCATCGACGCACTCCTCTTTGTTTTCGGATTCAAAGCCAGCAGGGTATGTCGCGTTTTTCTGGGCCAATAATTTGCGGCTAATTTAGATCCGCACAAAAAACGTCGGCGTGCTCATCCACAACTCGGCCGGTCACGACAATTTGACGTTTTGCAGCGTCGAAATTTTCTTCACCAAGGTTATTGATAAGGTAAGGTATTTTCAAAGATATCTGACTGAAGTTTTTAGGAAAATGGATTCGACGAGGCCCCGAATTCGCGCTTCTCCATTTGCCGCACAGCATACAAAAGCAACAAGAGCGAGTACGAGATCACGGAGAACGGGCGCACGATGAAGGTGAGAATTTAGACCGTGAGCTTTTTGAAAATGCCAACCTTGTATGCCAACCTATTAGTGGTTATTGATATTCCGTTTCAGAACGTGAAGCTGTCGGTGGTAGCCGAGAAGTTGAAGTCGGTCGGCATTGACCTGAAGCACAACCGGTTTCTGATCCTTCAAGGTGAAGTCGAGCAGATTGCGATGATGCCCCCGAAAGGTGACGACAAGAAGAAGACTGAGGGCATGCTCGAGTATCTTGAGGATATCATCGGGTAGGCGACAATTTTTTCTTGAAATAACACATTTTAGAACCTCGCGTTACAAGGAGCCTCTACAGCTTCTCGAAACCAAGATCGCGGCTGTCGACGAACAGCTGACGAACCAATCACGGATGTAAGCTTTTTACTATTCATGTTTTGCATTACGAAGCTGAGATTTATTTTCTCATTTCAGGCTCAGCAACGCGACAAAGGAAAAAGACCTTTTGGAGGGGCCTGTCAATGAGATGATGGAAATCATGAAGCTCGAGAACCGGATCTCCTATCACAAGAACCAGCTGGAGCAGATGACGCGCCTAAAATTGAAGAACAAAATCACGAAGCTGAAGGAAACCGACCTAGTCGAGGCCCAGAAGAGCGAGGATCTCGCGAAGGAAGAGCTGAAGGCCCTCAACGAGCTGATGCAGGAGAAGAACAGCAAGACGGCGCAGCTTACAAAGTAGGTGAACTTTCCCGTTGATAAAAAACTAAAAGTGGATTACTAATTTTTTTTTGCAGGGAAAACAAGAAGCTGCAAACAAAGTGCGATCGCGTCACCGATGAGCTTCAGCAGCAACGTCAGCGTGCCGGCAAGCGTCTGAATGACATCAAGAACAAGAAGGCCGAGGTCAAAAAGGCTCAAGCAGAACTCGCCACTCTCAAAAAGAAATACGCCGAGCTGGAATCTGCACCGGAAACTGCTCGCGATAAGGTCCAACGCCAGCGGGAGATCATCGAGGAGGCAGAGAAGGACGAGGCCGATTGTCAAAGGCGATTGGAGGAGAATCAGGACGACTACTTGGAGCGCACTGCCAAGGATCGAAAAGAAAAGACGACGCTAGAAGAAGAACTCGGAGTCGCTGAGCAAAAAGTCACCGAACTGGATGGAAAGACCGGGCGATATCGTGTCGAGCTGCAGGGCCTCACTGATGGCGTCGAACGCAGCAAGCAGCAGGTATCATATTTTAATTTTTTAGCATGCTTTCTAAGAGGCATGCTTTTGGGTTTAGGAAGAAGCCACTTTTGTAAACTTTACTATTGCTTTCTTTTTCAGTACGAGCAGACGAAAGCCAAGAAAGAAGAGCAAGAGGCGCTGGTCAAAAGAAAGACGGAGTATGTTCTTTCTCCTTTTTCAGATCATTTTTCAGGGAACTGGAAGAAGTGCAGCAACAGCTCCCTAACGCCGAGGCCAAGCTCACCGAGAAGCGGAAGCGCCAGCAGGAGCTGAAGGCGGAGGAGGACGTCGTCAACCGCGAGTTCAACAAGCTGCGCAATCAGCGCTACGAGGAACAGCAGCGATTCCAGCGGGGCGCAACGGGCAGTAAGATGATGCAGGTAAGAATGTCATGATTTCTGCTAATTTATTTGTTTTCTAGCGTCTGATGGCGTTGAAGGCGAACGGCACGTTGCCTGGCGTCATCGCTCGATTGGTAAGGTATTAGCAGTTAGACTTTGGAGAAAAGTTAGAAAATATTGCTGGGAAAGATTCGCAATTTTCGCCGAAAAAAAAACTGTTTTTCTATAGAAAATTTACTTTGTAACGGTTTTGCTATTTTAGGGTGATCTCGGCGGCATCGACCAGGAGTACGACATTGCCGTTTCCACCGCTTCCGGTGCCTGGGATAACGTCGTCGTTGAAGATGTGCCCACGTCGACGAAAGTCTTCCAAATCTGCCGTGAAGTACGCTAGTGATTAATGGTATATAAATTATTTTCTTCCAGGAGAAACTGGGCGTCGTCCATTGTATCTGCTTGGACAAGATCCAGCATTTGACGCAACGGATGGAGCAGCAGCGTCAGTATCCCGAGAACATGCCGCGACTCTTCGATTTGATCAAGATCAACGACCAGCGAATGAGGGTTGCCTTCTACCACGCCGTCCAGGAGACGCTCGTCGCCACTGATTCGAATCAGGCCGCCAGGTATTTTGAATTTTCTTTCAGGATCTCTAGCTATCTCTATCTATCTCGCTCGCTCTCTCTCTCTCTCTCTCTCTCTCGCTCTCTATTATTTTAATTATGCTTTTCAGGACCAGCCGCTTCAATGGCCAGCGTTACCGTGTCGTCACGAAAGACGGTGCTCTCTTCGAGACCTCTGGTGTGCTATCCGGTGGTGGCAAGCCGAAACAGGGCGCACTCGGCAAGGACGCCAAGGTCGACTCGACCGGGGAAAGCGAGAAAACCCTGCGCACCCTCCAGAAGAACCTCGACGACAAGCAGAAGCAGCTCGACGAGGTGCGAGCCTTTCTCGTTCCCAAAAATTTGTTTTTAGTTGCGCGGCGAGCTCCAAGAATTGGACACGGACATCCCCGGCCTTTCCGCCCGCTACAAAGACCTCAAGTCGAAGGCGAGCACGCTGGAGATTGACATTTCGGTAACGTGTTTGGTTTCTTCTTGACTTCCCCTGTTTAGAATGCTGAGCCGCTGCTGAACAACTACACCAAGAGCTTGAAAGACGCGGAGGCCCGGATGAAGCAGATTGAGAATGAAGTTGACGCGACCAAGGTTGAGGAGCTCGAGCGAAAGATGGCCAAGGCGAAGAAAGGTAATTGGATTTGGATTGTCTAATATTTTGTTTCAGAGCACGCCGACGCTGTTGAAATTGCTGACAAATGCCGGGCTAAGGTCAAGGCAGTTGATGCGCGCATCAACGCCGTCAGGGCCGATCTGCTTACGGTATGTTTTTTATTAATTATGCCAAGTTTTTTTACTTCAGCGTTGGGAAGATGATCGTAACGAGGCGCAAAAGAAACGAACTGACGCCGAGGCGACCATTGCCAAGGAGAATGCCGCTCTCAACCGTGTCGACACCAACATCAAAAAGGTGCAAAAGTATTTCTATGCGTATGAACATCCTTTAGAATCTGACACGTCAAAAAGAGACCGAGGCCGACATTGCGCAGCGTGAGGGCGAGATTGAGGTCCTGGAGAAGGAGAAGGACCAAGGCGGCGACGACGAGGAGGAGCTGAACCAGCAGAAAAAAGAGTTTGAGGTTGGTTTTGCAGCAATTTGCCTGATTTATAGTGCTTTGCGACTAACAACCTCTTTTAGGACCGCATGAAAGAGATCGCCGAGGAACTGAAGGAGTTGAACGCCAAAAACGACGAGCAGAATCGGCGCGAGGTCGAACTCGGCACCCGAATCAAGGATCTCAGCGGCGAGGTGCAGGTCATTAAGGCCGAAATTGCGCAGGCGCAGAAGCAGATCAAGCAGACGGAGGAGAATGTGGGTTTTCTGGGCGTTTAATTACGATATTTTTTAGCGCGCCAAGCTGCCCACCCACGACATCACCGGCCTCGGCATCGACCAGTCAAAGATGGATATTGATGGTGATGACTTGGTGAAGAAACGGAAATTCGTAAGCTACAATCCCGCTGTTATTTCCTGCCGTTCAGCTCATCGATATTGACGACGATGATCGAGCCCTCCGACAGAACCTCGATCTTGACATCCCAATGGAAGAGGGGGAGGTCGGATTTTACGGAATAGAGTTGACCAAATTCAAGCACACAGAAATTTTCACATATCTAGTTTCAATTCACCTAAATATTGGCCAACGAAACTATATAATAAATTTTTTCGTAAGTGGGAAGTCGCGCGTATAAAAATTTGGAATGAGGAACATTTGGAGATGAAAAAAACTGGATGTCGCAACTCTTGGGTCAATAACATTTTATAGGATGAAGCCGCCTATCGGCAACGCTGTGCGGACATTGAGCGCCAAGTGGACGACCGTCAGCTTCGGCTCCAGAATGAATGCGAGGACAAGCGTCGCCGGCTCGAGGAAGAGATCAGCGCGGATGAGAAGGCGCGCCGAGCCCAGCGTGAGCAGGAGTGCCAACATCCTCTGATGACCGGCCACATGCCGGAATACAGTGACGAAGAGGTAATTTTTACGCGCGGATCATAATATGATTTTGTCAGGTGGCCGCATTCAAGGAGGCGGACATCGACTTCAAGATCAAAGCCTACGAGCAGCAGAACATGCAGGGGAAGGTCCAGCTGAATCTTGGCATCGTCGAGGACTACAAGCGAAAGGTACAACATTTTCGTAGCTAGAAGTCGTCTTTTTTTCAGTTGCAACGATACACGGCCGAGGTGCACAAGGTGGAGCAGATTCGCTCGGTGGTCGTCAAGTTCAAGTCGAAGTACCAGGAGCTGAACACGTGCCGGCTGACCGAGTTCACAAGGGTAAGGAAGCCTCGGAAAACCGTTGAATTTTGCCTTGCAGAGCTTCCAACGCATCAAGGAGTACGTCGAGCAGATGTACCAGATGTTGACGATCGGTGGCAACGCACAGCTCCAGATCAAGGACACCATCCGGCCGTTTGAGCACGGCATCCAGTACCTGTAAGCTTATTTTAATTGAAGTGGATTTAGAAAGTAATTCGCTATATTTTTACGCAATAATGCATTTTATACATTTTTTTATTTCAGCGTGCGCCCACCTAAAAAGACGTGGAAGAAGATCCAGAACTTGTCGGGTGGCGAGAAAACGCTCTCATCGCTCGCCCTCGTTTTTGCTCTCCACAAATTCAGGTAAACCTGCTTTAACTTTAGGTATATCCCATTTTTCCAGGCCTACCCCCCTTTACTTCATGGACGAGATTGACGCGGCGCTCGATTTCCGCAACGTCTCCATCATTGGGCACTATGTCAAGGTTTGCTTTGTTTTTTTTTTGCAGCAAAACTCTTGCTGTAGGAGCGCACGAAGAACGCGCAGTTCATCATCATCTCGCTGCGCAACAACATGTTCGAGCTGAGCGACCGGCTAGTCGGTATCTACAAGGTCGACGACAAGACGCGGCACATTGTCGTCGAGCCGAGCGGCGTCTACGAGAAGGCCAGCATCAAGCAGGTATCGTGGATTTTGGTTTTTAGTTTTACAAACCCTACGCCACGTAGTTTATTATAGGCGGTATAACAATTTGACCCTTGTTTTTCAGAAAGTTGTACAACGGGTGGCCGGCAAGGAGTCCGCGCCGACGGTCCGCAACAATTGAGACGCGGGACCACAATTGATCTGAACTCACTTTTCCCCTTCACAGCATTCATACGATATACATTTGACTTTATTGAACGTGTTATTCACCCGATGCTTGTCCGCCAGTTGAGCGATAAATGTTTTTACAACTAAATATGAGGATCACGCAGGTGTAAATTTGTTAGCGGTCTAGCAACTTCACAGTGCTATTATTAATGCGACTATATACCGGGGCGTTTATGAAACAGCTTTTTTACAGTGGTGCATTTACTCGCGTTGGCTCTAAAAATGAGCATACTAGCCCAGGGAATTTGGGAATATTAGGCGCATCCGGTTTTTTTATAAGTTTTAGTATGTATTCGTAATCCCTGCATTCAATTTAGATATTAGTGCACCCTCAAATACTCGAACAGCTCGACCTCACCTGGAGAACAAAAGAAGCGGTTGCGGGATTGCGCGAATCCCCTGACTGGCCGCCTCGCAGCGGGATACTGTCCTTTCTTGTTTTCTCTGCCTCTCTCTAGCTCTCTCTCTCTCTCTCTCTCTCTCTTTCTAGAGACACTGACTGCCCCGTTGCGCCACCAAAGGAAACTTTCCGCTAATTGGAGGCGCGAACCGGGCCCCACTAACCTCTATGCTAAAAGGGGGGAGGTGGATTGGCTCAGGTCAACAGCCGCTCACCACACATACAGTCACTGCGGATTAACGACTTTCCAGTGGTTACTGGTACCTTTAAGGTCATTTTAGCGCCCTATTTCGCGTAACAATTCGATTAAAACCCTTGATTAGGTATTAGCGGGGGGAACAAGTAAGGTTTTTTGAAACAAACACTCAAAAGAAATCAAAACTATGGGGTTCATTTGCATTATTGGGGGACGAATTAAAAAATAAATAGCAAGTGTTTCTAGACACGTTTTTATTTTTTCTAGCCGTAAAAAATTACAAATCTTCATTAAAAAATGTCGCTTTTCGACCAAAATAACCGATTTTTGCCCGAAATTTCGAGTTTTCAAAACTTTGTAAATATTTTTTAGATGGTTATGCTAGTTAACGTAAAGTAATATTTGACCAGGAACACTAATAAAATACTTACGATCAAGTTGTTAGGCATTTCTAGGATTATACAAAAAAATTTTGCCGATAATGCGAAAGATGCTGCTGCTGAATTCCGATAAATAACTATTAAGTTGAATTTTTTGAATCCTAATGCGTTGTGGTGACGCTTATTTGCCGTTTTTTTGCACGTTGGAAGGTGCATTAATTGGAAAAACAAAAACCCAGCCGCCCCGGCAAAGCTTGAAATACAAATTTTTCAAAGATGCATCTACAACACCATCAATAACGTCATTTTTCAAAGGACCGCCCATTGGCCTAGGTCCCCGTTTTTGTGTCTATATTTCACCAGATGTTCGGCACGTCCAGTTGGCCGTTGTGGCACCTATCGGGGGGCTGAAGCGCCGTTTGACATTTGAATAGGGCCCATTTTCCGGGCCTTTACTGGATGGGAGGAGGGGGCTTTGATTTGAGCCGCCCAATTCCAAACAAACACCTTTGCGGCTCGATTCCGTTCCCCTACTAATTACGGGTCGCTTCTCTCTCTCACTCTCTCTCTCTCTCTCTCTCTCTCTCTCTCAAATCCCGAAGTGCCAATTTGTTTCTAATGCGCTCGTTTCCCTTTGTGAGCCCGGAGTTAGCGGCTCGATAGGGAGGTGGGGTACTGTAGAAAGCGGAACATTTTACTGTAGAAATAAGGAAAAATGGCAGTGGAAATAAGCGCGATTGGTTTATAATATAAACACTAATATAATTCGTTAGGAAGATAGTTTATCAAGGAATTAAGAAAAAAAATGTAGCAAACAACTCGGTAGTGCAAAAATTTTTCGAACGCTTTAGTGGAACTTGCCCGATAATAGTGATTTTGCATAATTTTGATATTCCCAAAAAGCTCCAGCTCGGTTTTGTTTAACGGGTTCTTTTCTAGTTTCGTTCTCTCTTTGTTTCGGCTGCAGCGTTGTGATGATGGAACTTTAGACGTAAAAAATATAGCAAAATAAATAACTTTTTTATGGTAGTAACGGAACATAGAAGCTCATTGTTGATTTTGTCTTATTGATGTTTGTTTGGAGCGGTGTATGTGGCATTATTTTGCAGTAATTTTACGATAGTCTTGGTTTCATGCAACAACTTAATCTTTTCGATTTACGGACTCTAGTGTTGATAGGAGTATCGCGTACTATATGAGAAAATTAATTTGCGGGTTTTCGATGTCTGATTATGATTTTAAAAAAGCAACGAAGATTTTCGGGGACGAGTAAAGCCTTTTAGTAGCTACTCTACTCTGAATAGTTAGCAGAAAAACTTGTCGTTTACTAAATTCATATGAAACATTTTTTGTTTGCCTGTTTAGCTGATTATTTTTGTCATGTTATTTTGAATTCTCTAGACTGGATGAAGTAGTTTACCCTCAATTTGCCTACCTTTTAATTCAGATTTTTTTATAAAAGACGATTACGCGTACTGCTTCGATAATCTTCCCCAGCCATCTGCCCATTTCAAAACAAAAATTCCCACGGTTTTGTGAGTCATAAAAAGCGGCAGTTTTGCCGGTGCCCGGGGATGCTAATTCGAATCGGCATATACTTGCCGGCAATCGGGAAGAGCCTTGGGGGTCAGGTACGAAAATTGTTCCAACAATGCCCCCCTGTCTAATTACCCCTTTAAATCGCTGCCTGTATCATTATTTGATGAAACATCTTTTTTCCAAGGAAAATAATTGCCAGCGATCTCTTTGTATTAGCTGAATTGAGTATATGCGAACGGCGTTGAGTTAATTACACGACACAAATAAGGGGTGATTAGGGTGCTAAAACAGCTGATTGACCAAGGAATCTGCGAAACGTCTTTTTTTATTGTATTCTTCGGTGGTACTGGACTGCTAGCGGGGGGGGGTATCAGGAGGCGGAACCGTTTGTTGGAAAATAATGTTTTATAGTGTTTTTAGTGGGCTTTCATCAGCTTTTTATCTTTAATAATAGCGTGAGATTTAATAAGGATGTATTATTGTTGGCTGCGTACGTCATTGATGGGAAAAATTAGCCCCGCCCCCGCTAACAATCCAGAAGCTCGTTTCGGTCACCGATTGCTCTCTCTCTCTCTCTCTCTCTCTCTCACCTCTCCTCACTTTTGACATATCAAATGCCGAAAGCCTGCGGAATTATTAATTTCTCGTCGAACAGGAAGTGCAAATCGTTGAAACATTTTTCTGTTTTTTTTTGCATCCAACAACAGTATCACCTAAATTTTTGCGAGTTGTTTACATACATATAATTTAATGACAGCAACCACTCTTCTAGCAGCACCCAACAAAGGGGCGTGGCCTCGCCACGGGGCCAACTGGCATAATTGAGACCGGAAATCTGTCAATAAAATCGGGGGTTTTGGGTGGTGAGAGAAGAAGAGGAAGGGGATGGAACCAAGGCCATATTCGCATACCAAGTGCCCCACCTGGGGGGTAGAATCTTCAGGATTATCTCCCTCTTCTTTTCTCCCTCCCCGTATTTCCTAAGCCAAAGCCTAGACCCTAAAAGTTGTATCCGGCCTCAAAAAACACCAAAAGATTCAGTTTTTTAGTTTTTAGATTGATTGAATTTGTTTTTTTTTACTAATTCGAATATTTTTATCGATAGCAAAATATTTCTCTCTCTCGCTCTCTCTCTCTCTCTCTCTCTCTCTCCCGCTCTCTCTATCAGTAATACCCTGGCTATCACCCTCTATAACGCTCTCAATTTAGATTTTAGTCTTTTGTTGCTGTATAAAACGTGGTTTTTAAAGGAAACTCTGCTAGTCTGCCCCAAAATTCGGATTTTGTAAATTTGGTTAGATGGACAACGAACATCCCTGCCACTGATTTTTATTGGAAAACAACACGAGACGAAACCCATTTTCCACAAACCCCGCCTTGGAAAATAGGTGTTTCATTATTTTAGCTGTCTGCTTAGTCACTAAAAGGGTCAATTCCCGCTTCTTCACTAGGGCAAAACAACGTTATATCTGAATTTCTATATTCAGGGCCTACCGAGTACGTATACAGTTTTCTCCTACCAGTGAAAGGGCGAACTTTTTAGGGGGAGGGGGCATCGAGGCCGTTCGGTAATTTTAGGTTTGTAGGTGCAAGGAGAAAACGGTGGATGGAATAACCTGTAGAACATGGAACATATCATTTTCGGTTTCTGTCGTAAAGGTTTTTGAATGCGTCTTTCTCTCTATCTTTCTCTCGTTCTCGCTCTCTCTCTCTCTCTCCCTCTCTCTCTCTTCGATTTTAAAATATTTTATAGGGGCGGAGAAGTTGCCGGCAAACCTGAATAGAATGAGCAAATGCGTACAGATTCGTCTTATTTCTATGTTCTCTCTCCCACTCTCTCCCTCTCTCCCACTCACTCTCTCTCTCTCTCTCTCTCTCTCTCTCTCTCCTTGGCGTCCATAATCCCCAGGGCTATCTGTCAGTCCGTGACAAACGCGTGAAAGTGGCGCGCGACCCCGCTCGGGTCCCCTTTTAAAATGAGCCGCAATTAAAGCCGCACCTGGCACCAAGTTTCCGTTTTCCTATTTTACGCCCACAAAAAAAACTTATCCTTTTCAGTATTTAAGTTTTTAAATAAGAAAGTAGACTATTTCATTTTCGAAGTAGTCCTTGGAAAAAAATGTTTTGCAACTAATTAGTCGCTGCGTGCGGGTGAATTGATTAATAGAGGCTGTTGAGCTGCTCTTTATATTTCGTTTAACCTAGTTTAATTTATAATTTAATTAAATCAGTTTGTAAAGATCCGCCAAAAATTCTAGTTTCGACGGTTACTGTATCGCACTAAGACACCATTTTGAGCACACGAGATTACCGTAGGATTTCGAATTATTCTGCAAGGATGGATGTAATAATAATATTTTTTTGCGTAATTGCATAATCACAATCCCCAACAATCTCCACTAGTTGCCCTGAATTTTTTCGCGGCGGCCAATTAG